GAAGATTTGGGCCTCTGACATCAGAATCTGGATGGAACAGTGACTTTGAAAAGGTGAAGGAAGATTATTTCCAATGTAGAATATATACCCAGCTCAACTATCTCTAAAGAACAGGATAGGGGGCTTCCCTGGGCGCAGTGGTTGAGAGTCCACCTGCCGATGCAGGGGACGCGGGTTCGTCCCCGGTCTGGGAAGATCCCACATGCCGCGGAGCGGCTGGGCCCATGAGCCATGGCCGCTAAGCCTGCACGTCCGGACCCTGTGCTCCACAGCGGAGGAGACCACAGCAGTGAGAGGCCCGCGTACCGCAAAAAAAAAAAAAAAAAGAACAGGATAGGATAAGGAGACCTTGGGCACACGTGTACTTGAGGAATTTACCTCCCATGGACCCTTTTTCTCCGAAAGCTACGGAAAGGTCCTCTGCCACAAGGAGGGAAAGGGACAAGGAAGAGAAAGACACGGGATGCAGCACAGGAGAGAGAGAAATGGAGTTCTCAGAATGATGGTAAGGGGAAATCCCAAGAGTGACACCCGTGAGGCAGGCCTAGCAAGCCATCAGCCCCCAAGGCTCAGAGGCCAGAGAGCCCCGGGAGAGCTGAACAGAGATGAACTTTTCCCCTTGTGAGAGAACTTCCTGCCCAGCATCCCCGTTCCCATCTCCTGGGCACGTATGGATGACGTTAGGCGGCCAGGAGGTGGACTATCTTTGGCCTCTGGTTTTGGCTTCGGGCTGTAACACACGCAGATCCCCGGCTCCCCGTGTGCTGGTTCTGCAACAGCTAAGTGTGCACTGTCTGACTACCTGCCGGCTTTGTCGGTCTGGCACCCACACACCCACATCTTCTGGGCTACCTGTTATTTTGTCTGCCCAGCTTCCAATCTCTTATTCTGCTAACAACGTCAACGTTCCTGGGGAAGCGGCCTTCCCTTCTCAGTCCACAGGCAAAAATCAGGAAGCTGCCTCAGTCGTCAGCAAGGACGAGCCCAAGACCTGTGACCCACGTGAAATCTATGTGACCCAAGCCAGCTCAGTGGGGCTCCATCCTAGGACCCAGATGGGAAAAGTGGGAGATTCTCTGATAACAGGATTTGTTCAGAAGGTGAGAGAGAGTCCCCAGGAGTCCCCAGGAGCGGGGTGTGATGGTAGCACAGCTGAGAGCGTGGCTGACGGACACTGGGAGCCTGAGCCCCGATGACGCCGTGGCACAGTGACTGGGTCCAACCGCGCCTAAAGCCCTGTAAGTCTTCACTCAGACGAGCCGATAAAACTCTGTGCGTAAGGCCACCTGACTTGGGTTTCAGGAACCAAATGGACCCACGCCAACACGGCGGGAAACGGGTGCCAGGGAGGGTCTCGGGGGAGGGTCTCACCTCGGACCACGGTGCCCGGGTAGAGGCAGCGGTACTGCTGGCTCCAGTAGGCTGCGATCCTGGTCCCTTGCGGCAAGAAGCGAGTGGAGGCCGGCCTCACGTCAATGATCTGGGAAGGCGAAGGGCTGAGCGCGGGCGGTGGGCAGGAGCAGCCCCGCGCCCGCCTCCCCAGCCCCGTCTCCCTCCCTCACCGCCTCCTGCAGCAGCTGCTCCAGACAGTAGATGTGGGGCCGGTTCCCGCGCTCGCCCTCCACCACCACACGGTATCTGCGAGGCCAGGGCGGCGAGGCGTGAGGTCCCCAGGGGAACCGCCACGCCCCAGACTCCCAGCACCCCCGCGCCAGCTCTACCTCCCGCACCACGGGGACGTGCCGTTGGAGCCTGAGGGTCTGCCGACCTGCGGCATAAACTCGGGGCCGGTCTAGCCCCTCTGCGCCCCCGTTTCCTCGTCTGCACAACCAGGGTTCACAGATCCAGGAGAGCCCAGCGCGCCCTCTCCTGCTCCTCCCCGCTGAGCCCCACCTGGGGGCCCGCCCATGCCCCCCAGTCCTATGCAGGGAAGCCACAGCTCAAAGAGGCGAAGCGACGCGCCCACAGAGGCCCAGCAAGGCTCTGGGTGCAGGACTGGGCGAGGCTCTTAGGCTCTGAGCGGAGCTGCCCCGCCTGGCGCCCGCCCGCACTCACATGTCCGGCGAGTGCACCGTCTGCACGTGCCCCGCGTACAGCAGCTTGTCATCCATGGGGATCAGCACACGCAGGCCATCCTTCAGCTCATCCTTGTCGATGATGCAGGAGCGAGGGGCTGCGGGAGTGGGCTCGGGTGAGGCGGGGTTGGAGCGGGGTTGGGGGCGGGGGGTCAGCCTTGAGACCCTCCGTCCCGTCCCCTGTGCCCTGCCCCCCAGGCCCACCTGTCGCCCCATCACCCCTCTCAGAGCAGAAGGCCCAGGGTGCCTGCAGGCACACGTGCATCTGTGCGCGCAGCTATGTGCCAGCAGATGGGCCTCGTGCGGGGCGCTGCATGCGTGCCAGGTGTGCACAGCCCCTCCCCTCCCAGCGCGTCTGCAAAGATCCCAGGCAGGGAGGAACCGGGGTGATACCCCGCAGGTGCTGCCCCACCCTCATCTGAAGACCACCCCTCTCTGAGCCCCAGCATGAGGCGATGCGTCATCAGAGCCCGTCACGCCCCTCAGCCACAGCCCTGGGACCCCTCCACCAGCTCCTCCTCCACCTTGGATGCTATCTGTTCTGGTGGACACAATCCCTCACAGCTGGGCTGTCAGCGCTGCCCACCCGGACCAGGCCTCCGCCCGAGGCTGCCACGCCCCATCACCGCCCCGGGCCACGTCCCCTCCTGGGACCCCCACCCCAGACTCTCCTCAGTTCTCCCCCTCCAGGCCCGACCATGCTGTCAGCCTCCTGGGCCTGCTCTTCTTCTCTATAGGACCTTGAACCTGGGCCCTCCCTGCCATTACCCCACACAGAGAAACCCAGATGGCTCGCTGGGGTGGACGGAATGACAGGCCCACTTCTTGGTCCCCGCCTGCACCCACACCCCTGCCACGGCTTCACCACGGGTGGAGTGGACTTCCCACCTCTTGACCTTGGGCGTGACCACGTAACCTGTTTTGGCCAATGGACGCAGGTAGAAGTGCTTGAATCTGAACCGAGCGAGGTCTCGGGAGGCCTCACTGGTTCCCACTCTCCCTCTCGAGCCTCTGGCAGCACGGCCATGAGAAGAACACACCCTGACCAGCCCAGCGGTCCAGGTGGGGCAGAGCTGTCCCTGAATCAGTGGACCCCTAGCCATCCCGTTATCATGGGAGCAAGCCCAGCTAAGGTCACCCTGCTGTCCTGCTGACAACTGATTGCCACCCTCCATTGAGTCTGAGCACTTGGTTGTTACACAGCAACAGCTGACAGATACACTCCCAAGCAGGTGACAAAGCTCCTCAGGGCTGGCCCTGCTCCCCCTCTCAATCCATCCCCACCCCCACCTAATTCATGTCCTCAACCTCAAGCTCCAGACCCCCGGGTCCAAGTGCCTACTGGATGTCACCTCCCTGGGATGTCCTCCGAGCATCCCAGCCTCCAGCCAGCAAAGCCCAGTTGCTCCCCTCTGAGACCCGTCTCGATGACAGCTTCTCCCCACCACCTGCCAATACCCATCCACACCCCTTCTCTTCCCCTCATCTGCTCACACAGCCCATGTACTCTCCCTCCTAACGCACTCAAACCCCCCCATCTCCCTCCCAGCTGCCCATTCCCTCCCCCTCCCGATGCTAGCTCAGGCCCTAGTAACTGCCCCAGGAGAACCTCCTGCACCTCCAGGCCCAAGCCAACGCAGCATCGTGGGCACTCACCGGGAGTTAGTGGCCTCTCCACAGCCCCGCCTCGGGGCAGGTGCTCATCCTCAGAGAAGCTCGAGTCCTGGTTGGGCTCAAAGTCCTCCTCGGCAGCCATGCTCTCCATCAGCTTGCTCACGGCTCCCCCCTTCCCCCGGTTCTGGGGACAGAGCAAGAAAGACCAGCGGCTTAGGACACGGCATCCCAGTCCTGCCCAGCTAGGACCCTCCCTGGAATCCCGGGGTCACAGCCAGGCCTCGGTGGAGTCTGCCACATGGGGGACTGGGGTCCCAGCTGGGCTCACCCCCCAGGCCAGAGGGAGGATGAAATGGGCTGAGGCAGCGCCTCCAGCCACACGAGGGATCTGGGGGCATGGGGGTGGGGCACACCCAGGGACGCCTCCGTCTGTCAACCAAGCAACGCAATTCACCCAAGCCTGGGGCCCCATGGGAAACCTCACCTCCTTCTTCACCTCCTTCCCTTTGGCTTTGGCCTTGTTCCTCTTGGCAGCGGCCGGAGAGCTGGTGTGAGGGGCCCGGGCCTCGGGGGGCAGGGCAGGAACACGGGGAGGGGGCAGCGAGGCTCCCGATGCGGCCTCCTTCCCCTTCTTCTTCTGGGGATGAAGCGACAGGGTGGCCGTCAGCGGGCAGAGAGGGCCCAGGCCCCGCCGCTCACTGTCCAGAGAGGACAAAACACCCTCCCTCTCCTGGCAAGTATTTCTGGTTTCAATCTCGTTTTATTACTACTGTATATTACTTGTTGTAAAAAAAAAAAAAAAAAAAGACACCACCGAAGTGTATATACGTGAGTTCCTCTCCAACGATCCCACCAACCACAGAGGTAACTAGAGGGACTAATAACAGCATGGTGTGTCCTTCCAGAGCTTTCCGCAAGCACACATAACCGTGTAAACATGTGGGCTATGCAGACACATCTGTGTATACACAGTACTTTCTTTTTTAAACACAGATGGGAATTTACCAAAAATTCTGCTTTGCAACGTTTTCCCCCTAGTACGTCTGGCAGACACAGAGGTGGTGGCGTCACGTTTTATTCTAACAGCTGCCCGAGGTGCCTTGATGGGGGGACCCGAGATTCATCCGACCACCCACCTCTGTTTATTCCTCTGCTGGATGGTGCCAAGAAAAACGACACTACCAATTAGTTCTACAGGTATATTCCTGGAAGGAGCACTTAGAACCGTACACCCACTGCCCGACTGCTTCCGGAGGCCTGCGTTACTTTCCTCTTGCCCCAGAAGTGTGGGGTGCCACATCCCCACCAACTCAAAGCCCCCAGGGTGGCTCAGGGACGCCCCCCGCGCTGGGGGAGCGGAAACTGGGCCAGCGTACGGGGACTGTGCACGGCTCCACTTATCAGAGCAAAAGAGTGGAAACAACCTAGATATCCAGCAACCTGGTGCGTCCGTAGATACAGTTACAAGCTTTTATCACAGCGGCTGAGGGTCCTGTTCTGAGGAAGAGGTGACAGCACAGGAAATGGAAGTGATGATACTCTGTATAAGAAGCAGGTTCAGGCTACAAAGGTGACGGGCGGTGAGGGCAGGGGTCACTTCATGCCTTTTTAAAAGCGACATGCCTAACGACCAACGACCAAGTCATGGGGCCAGGGGAGATGGAAAATTAAGACACCGAAAAAAGGAAGACTGGGCGAATGTTACCAAGACAACAGCAGAAGTCACAGCTTCCACATCAGACGGGTGAAATCCAAACCCAAGAGCATTAAAAGGAAAAAAGTGGGAAATGTTAGAGCAATAAGAGGTATTCATTTTAATCTCTATTTGGGGGGAAAAATATGTATTTTTTATATATACACACACACATTATGTTTTCTTGTTTCTGGTGCATGTTTTGATCCTGTGCACATTTCTGAAATCAGACTGCATCTTGGGGGTTGAAGGACTGTTTGTCATGTGGTTATGTCTCCTCTTGCCCTGACTTCTGTTATTAAATAGACAGCTTGTCTTATGGGGCACATCTTTGCAGCTGTACATAGTGGGGCAAGAGACACTGACAGCCAAAAAAAAAAAAAAAGTTATCTCCGTATGGAATTTAATTTTCTTCCTTTTCCTTATCATGCAAATTACTGTTACAATCAGATAAAACTGATAACCTTTTCTTTCCCACTGACCAGAAAGCCCATTTCTGGGAAGATTTTTTTTTTTTTTTAATAAAAAAACTCCAAAACTGACAAGTTCTGTACACAGAACAGAGATGTTCATTGCTGTGGTAATTACAATGGCAAAAGACCATCATTAACCAAATCACCAATGGCTAGCATGGTTGATGGCGGGAGATGTTGAAAACCACAGGACAGCAAGATGGTGGAATGTTATTCAGCCATTTGGAGACAGTGATTTAAAAAAAAGTAAAATAAACGGTCATGCCACATGGGAATGCACAAGATCTAACGCCAAGTGTGAAAAACAGGATACAGAGGCTTCCCTGGTGGTGCAGTGGTTGAGAGTCTGCCTGCCGATGCAGGGCACACGGGTTCGTGCCCCGGTTCGAGAAGATCCCACATGCCGCGGAGCGGCTGGGCCCGTGAGCCATGGCCGCTGAGCCTGCGCGTCCGGAGCCTGTGCTCCGCAACGTACGGCAAAAACAAAACAACAACAGCAAAAGCAGGATACAAAAGTGTCTCTCACAAAACTATGAACACTGGTTGTTCCTGGAGTGATTTCCTTGGTGTGTGACTTCTCCTTTGGCTGACCATGAATCGGTTCCGTCCCAGTGTCTGACTGTGTCATCAGAAGGCTGAGATCAGGTGCGCGAGCCCCCGGTCCCTCTCTCCCCAACAGAAGGTGCCCTCCTGGGAAAGGCCCAGAGAGGCCGGTTTGCCCTGTGGTTAAGGCCCCGGCTCTGGCGCTAGACCCCAGTGTTGAAAGCTCAGCTCTGATAATCATTAGCTGCTGGGCTAACTGGGCAGGTTCCAGGACTACCTGTAACGTGCAGTTAATATGAGTAAGCAACCTACCTCATGCGGCTTTGTAAGTAGTCATCTGTGACGTCAAAAGAAATACATATTTGGTTCCTGCCCCTGTTCCTGACACAGAGCTCCTAAAACCCTTTGGATTTCCTGGGTCACAGGAGCGAGCGCCTTTTGTTCTAATAAGGTGACTCTTGGTGAGTCCCTACATGGCTTCAGGATGGGGCCTGGTCACCAGAAAGACCAGCTACAACCAAAAGCTTGAAACTTTCAGCCCCACCCACATCCTCCAGGGAGGGGAGAGGGGCTGGAGGTTGAGTTACTAATCGATCATGCCTCTGTGATGAAGCCTCCATAAAAACCCCTCAACGACGGTGTTCAGAGAGCTCAAGGTTGGTGAACACGCCGAGGAGGGCGGTGTGCCCGGAGAGGGCATGGGAGCTCTGCACCCGTTCCCACCCACCTTGCTCTGTGCCTCTCCTCCACCTGGCTGTTCCTGAGTTGCATCCTTTACAGTAAACCGTAACAGTAAGTAAAGTGTTTTCCGGAGTTCTGTCATTCTGGTGAATTATCGACCGGAGGAGAGGGGTCATGAAAATCCTTGATCTATAGCTGGTTGGTCAAAAAGCACAGGTGACAACCTAGAACTTGCGACTGGCATCTGGAGTGGGGATGGGGTGGGGGCAGTCCTGTGGGACTGAGCCCTTCACTGTGGGGTCTGCACCAACCCCAGGGAGTTAGTGTCAGATGTGCTGTGAGCAGAGGCAACGCGTTTCCCTTTACCAACACATTAAGTACACAAACTGGTTAGAACACGCCTGGCCCCTACCATGGGTCAACCCTGTACAATCATCATCATTATGTATTATTGGAGCGCCTTCTCTCCAAGGATCAGAAAAACCTGAGATGGCTTCAGCCGTGAGAAAACAAGAACAAGAGATCCCTGTGGATGACACTGAAATGCAGCCCCTTCCTCACTACCACCCATTATCAGGAAATTGATGCGGAGTCTGGTCCCTTTTTGTGGCTTTGTCTAGAATGACACTGCTATTTGAGGGTTTGCCTTCCATCAGGGACATGGAGTAGAGAGGCCTGAGTCAGAGACCACTGTCGCGAGCTGGCCATTAGGTCTGAATGCGACCACCTAAAGAGCGAACTACTGGCCGTGAGCTTCCTAGCAGCCAGTGCAAGAAGGGTAACAGGTCTAAAAAAAAAAGAAGGGTAACAGGTCTAATCATCACTGAGTTCTTGAAAAGCAGATGTTCTCAACCTGCGGTGTCTGTGGAGAGAATTCAGGGACCTCTGAACCTTGGATGGGGAAAAAGAAATCCCATCTCTATTTTCCCTAACCTCTCAAGAAATGAGGTTTTCCTTTGGGTGTGAGAGCTAAGACTTTGTCACCAACAGCAATCACTGTCATGTAGCGCATGACAGTTACGGCAGAGACCTTGAAATATCATCTGAGCTCATCAGTTCACACGACAACACTTGCTAGCCCGGCTGCAGGTGTCCTTATCAAAGACGTTCATCAAGGGGCACCCAGAGGAGTGCCCATCACAGAGGTCGTCGGTAGGTGGGTGACTGCGTTTCAGGGTCACCACCGCCCTTTGGGGTCTCTGTGCCTCGCCCAGGTCTGAGAACTCTACTCCGAGACAGGAGGTCCAAGGGCCCCCGCCCCACGCCGCGCCCTACCTTCCTGGGGTCCTTCCTGTCCTTCGCGCGGCCGGCGTCCTTGCGTGGGCTGGGCGGGCCAGCCTTGCCGCAGCGGCCGGGCTTGGTGGCAGCAGGCGCAACGCTGCTGGGCGCGGGCACGGCCGACGCGTCATGCAAGAAGATGCGCTCGCTGCGCCGCCGCGTCCACAGGTCGTCGTCGCTGGCCTCGGGCCCCGCCTCCAGGCCAGGCTCCTTGGGGCCCCGCGGCTTGCGGGCCTTGCGCCCCTTCTCGGCCGCCAGCTTGGCCTTGTCGGGGCTGCCGGGGCCCCGGGTGCCGGGCGCAGCCAGGGCAGGACCTGGCTCCCCCAGCCCCTTCTTGGGCCGCAGCAGCCCAGCAGGCGACCGCTTCCGCACCTTGACCTCGCTCTCCGAGTCGGTGTACTCGAACTCCGTGCCTGCACGTGGGTGAGGGAGGGGCTGTGGACAGGGGCTCCCGGGCCCCCACTTCCCACCCACCCACCCAGCCGCTCTGGCCACCAGGAGAAAGGCCACAGCCCAGCCCTCCTACAGGGGATGGCGTCACCGTGGGAGGCTTCAACCCGTCTCGGGGAAGGAACCTGAGGCCCAGAGGAGGAGGGCTTCCAGCCGCATGCTTGTGAGCGGCAGACCCTGCTGGCCCCTCCCGTCCCAAACCCTGCCGGCTGCCCAGACTCTGCTCCGGACCCCTCACCCCAAGAGCATCGTCTGGGCATGTGAAGATTCCTGCCTGGGCACGTGTGAGCTTCCCCGCCCCTCCTGTGCCTCCACAGGAGTCCCGGAAGCCAGGGCAGGTGAGCCGGGGAGGGCCCACACCTGTAGGGGCAGCAGCTCTAAGGGAGGAAGGTGGGAAAGCCTGCACAAAATCCCCGAGCCCAGAGGGCCCTCCGCTCTGCTTGCTGGTGCCACTTCTCAGAACTGGGAGGTCCTTGGCACACACTCCCCTTTCTAGAGGACAGGCTTCCCCAGAACCCACACAGCCCTGGGGCCCAGCCCCTCCCCTCACCCCCGAAGCCGCCCCTTCCCACAGCCGGAGGGCCCACATCCCTCTGCTGCAGAGCAGCCCTGAGCCTAGGGCCCAGCTCCTGGGCTCCTTGAATGCACAACCTCTCACCAGGATCCGCTGTCCTCTGTCCTTTTAAACCCCCAGGTCTTCGCTCCTGCTGGCCCTCTGCCCAGAGCACCATCTCTCCCCTGACCTCTACCTGGACAGCTGCAGCCTCCTTTCTGAGAAGACCCACTCTGCGTCCTGGAGAGTCCTCTGGCCATCCCTCCATCACCACAGGCACACAGCACACTGCAGAAGTCCCGTCTGTGTTTGTCTATCTCGTCCTGCTCTGCCCCCAGCAATAGATCCCCGAGTTCTCCTGGAGCCCACAACACTGGACAGCTCAGAGCCTGGCCCAGAGCTGGTGGCCAGGGAAAGAATCTAAACGGGGAGTTAATGGTGCTTCTCCCCATGAGGAGAATGAGGAGGGCCTGCCTCCTCCAGGCAGACCCCGGAGATGAGATGTCCGTGACAGCCCTGGGCTGACCACCCCAGCAAAGGACTTGCCCTGGGTCCCAGACCAATGAGCTGGTAAGCCAGGGCTGGACCCCAGGCCTGCACCCCAGGCCTGCGGAGCCTTGAGCAGCCAGCAGCCTGGCCACAAAGGCTCCTGAGGGACGCCCAGCCCCATCACCCCAACAGGTGCAGCCGCAGTATCAAGGGTGGGGCTGGGAGGAGGGCGCACTTGCAAAGCTTAATGATCCTGTTAATTAACCTTTTGTTAACAGAGCTGCCGGGGGAGGCAGCTGGGGGCTTTCGTGGCTAATTAGGGTGCAGGCCACAAAACACCACTGGCTTTGCCAGTCCTGCTTTTGGGTATGACAGAATGAGACCCCACCTGATGACAGCCCCCTGCAGAAAACCTAGATGCACACAGAATACTGCAGGTACCTGCAGAGGGAGCCAGTACAGGACAGTGCGCAGAGCAGTGACCAGGAGTGGACACTCGCTTGAAAGAGGGGAGGGTGGAGCCTCAAGGGTAAGATCGCGTCAGAAGATAAATATTTATGAGACCCATGGGGCAGCACGAATGGTGCCTGGCACAGAGAAAGCGGGCTCTGTCAGGGTCCTGTGGTGGCGACAAGCATGAGGCCCGGAGAGAGGGAAGGATCTGCCGTGGCCTCGCTGCGGGACAGGACGGAGCAGGGAGTAGAACCTGCGTTCTTGACTCCCAACCAGCGTCCTGTGCAAATGCCTCCTCCCCAAAACAACAGGCAGTAAAAGAGGAACAAAGGAACAAAAAAACAGACCAAAAAAAATAGACAAAAAATAATGAAGACAAGAGTAAAGACACAGATGCAAAGTCAAGGGATAAAAAAAGACATACGATGTGAACAGAGACCAAGGAAGAGCTGTGGTGGCTATACAGACATACCTCACTTCATTGCACTTTGCGGATATGCATCTTTTTACAAATTCAAGATTTGTGGCAACTCTGCATTGGGCAAGTCTATCAACGCCATTTTTCCAACAGTGTTTACTCCATATCTCCGTGTCACATTTTGGTAATTCTCACAATATTTCTAACTTTTTCATTATTACTATTATATTATATTATTATATTTGTTATATCTGTCATCAGTTACCTTTGGTGTCACTACTAAGACTCAACGAAGGCTCAGATGATGGTTACCAATTTTTAGCAATAAAGTATTTTTTAATTAAGGCATGTACCTTTTTTTTAAAACATAATGCTACTGCACCCTTAAGACTATAGTATAGCGTAAACGTAACTTTGATACGTACTGGGAAACTAAAACATTTGTGTGACTCGCTTTATTGTGGCTTTATTGTGTTGGTCTAAACCCACAATTATCTCTGAGATATGTCTGTACTTTTATCCAACAATACAGATTTTAAGATAAAAATCTAGACAAAGAAGGACTTTTTTTTTTTTTTTGCGTACACGGGCCTCTCACTGTTGTGGCCCCTCCCGTCACGGAGCACAGGCTCCGGACGGCGCAGGCTCAGCGGCCACGGCTCACGGGCCCAGCCGCTCCGTGGCATGCAGGACCTTCCCAGACCGGGGCATGACCCTGCGTCGGCAGGCGGACCCCCAACCACTGCACCACCAGGGAAGCCCAAGAAGGACATTTTAAAATGATGAAATAGTCAATCCATCAGAAGGACATAAACAAATGTGAACATAATCCAGAAACATATAAAAAAGATTATACACCATGACCAAGTGGGATATATTCCAGGAATGCAAGGTTGGTTTGACATTCTTTAAAAAAAAAAAATCTTTAAATCATTCTTTAAAAAAAAAATGTAATACACCATATTAATAGGATAAAGGATAAAAACCACATGAACACAACAACAGACACAGAAAAAGTAACTGACAAAATCTAACACCCTTTCATGATAAAATCACTCAACAAATGAGAAATAGAAGGAAACTTCCTCAACCTGACGAAGGACATCTATGAAAAAACCCACCACTAACATCATACTTAATGGTAAAAGAATGAGTGCTTTCTCCCTAAGATCTAGAGGGCAGGAAAAAAAACCAAACAAGACAAAGATACCTATTCTCACCACTTCTATTCAATATTGCATGGGAGATTCTAGCCAGAGCAATTAGGCAAGACAAATAAAAGGAATACACACTGGAAAGGAAGACAAAACTATCTCTATCTGTAGATGACATGATCTTGTATATCAGCGGTCCCCAACCTTTTTGGCACCAGGGACTGGTTTCATGGAAGACAATTCTTCCACGGATTGGAGGGGGGATGATTCAGCCGGTAATGCGAGCCATGGGGAGAGATGGGGAGCGGCAGATGAAGCTTACTCACTCACTCGCCCGCCGCTCACCTCCTGCTGTGCGGCCCAGTTCCTAACAGGCTGCAGACCAGTACCGGTCCACGGCCTGAGGGTTGGGGACCCCTGTTGTATACAGAAAATCCTAAGGAATCTACTAAAAAGCTTTTAGAATAAATGAGGTTAGCAAAGTTGCAAGACACAAGATTAATTTACAAAAATCAATTATATTCCTATACATTAGCAACGAATACTCCAAAAATGAAAAGAATTCCATTTAAATAGCATCAAAAATAATAATTACTTAGAAATAAATTTAACAAGAGAAATGCAAGACTCATACAATGAAAACTACAATTGCTGCAAGAAATTAAAGACCCAAATAAATGGAAAGACATTCCATGTTCACGGACTGAAAAACTTACATCGTTGAGGAGTCAATACTCCCTAGTATTATCTACTGATTCAATACAATTCTTATCAGAATCCCAGATGGCTTTTTTGCAGAAATGGATAAACTGATCCTAAAATCCATATGGAAATGCAAGGGACTCTGAAGCACCAATCTTGAAAAAGAACAACAAAGATGGAGGACTCATACTTCCCAGTTTCAAAGCTTCCTACAAAAACTCCCACAGTAATCAAGATAATGTGGTACTGACATAAGGACATACAGATCAATGGAATAGAACTGAATATCCAGAAATAATCTTTCATATTTATTTTCAACTGTTCAACTGCTTTTTGACAGGGGCGCCAGGAGCATTTGATGAGGAAAGAACAGACTTTCAACACACGATACTGAGGCAAATGGATCTCCACATGCAAAAAACCCCTACATCACTCGCACACAAAAATAACTCAGGATGGATCACAGACCTAAATGTAACTCTCAACCTATAAAACTCTTAGGAGAAAACAGGACTAAATTTTTGTGACCCTGAATCAGGCAATGCTTTCTGACATAACACCAGAAGTACAAGTGACATCAGAAGAAACAGATAAATTGGATTTCATCAAAATTAAAATTTTTTGTTTTAAACAACACTATCAAGAAAGTGAAACAGGGACTTCCCTGGTGGCACAGTGGTTAAGAATCCACCTGCCAATGCAGGGGACACGGGTTTGATCCCTGGGCCAGGAAGATCCCACATGCCACGGAGCAACTAAGCCCGTGCACCACAACTACTGAAGCCCACGCGCCCGAGAGCCTGTGCGCGGCAACTACTGAGCACACATGCTGCAATTACTGAAGCCCGCACGCTGTAGGGCCTGTGTGCCGCCAAGTACTGAGCCTGCATGATGCAACTACTGAAGCACGCACGCCTAGAGCCCGAGCTCCGCAACAAGAAGCCACCGCAATGAGAAGCCCATGCACCGCAACAAAGAGTTACCCCCGCTCACCGCGAATAGAGAAAGCCCGAGTGCAGCAATGAAGACCCAACACAGCCAAAAATAAATTTTAAATTTTAAAAATAAATAAATAAATAGAAGAAATGGGAAGTGGTTGTAAATTATACCCAAAGAAAAAGGAAGGAAGGAAGGAAGGAAATAACAAAGAGCTGAAATCAATAACTTCTAGCCACACTGATCAAGAAATAAAGAAGAGAAACAGATTATCTGTAACAGCAATGAAAAAGGCAACATCACCACAGACCCTTAGGACACTGAAAGCATTAAAAGGGGAAATTGTGAACTCTCTGCCAATACGTTTGACAATTTAGATGAAACGGATGTTTGGGGCAAGTGCAGAGGCCTGAGGGCTCTGGGATGCCTGGTGCAAACAGGGGTGGGGTGGAGGCTGTGGACAGGATGATGCTGTCTGAGCAGCCAGTCTGAGGGTGGAGGGTCACATAGGTGCTATCTGTCCAGAGGGCAATGCAGCCAGTCAGAGGCCCTACACAGAGAAGTGGCCTGGTCAAGTGTGAGCTCTGAGGAAGTGCAGAGGACACCCAAGAGGGGTAGGCCTGGATGGAGCCAGGCCCGAAGCCCCCGGGGGACAACTGCAGAACATGGGGCTAAGAGAGAGAGAAGGGAGAGGAGGGAGGCAGGGCAGGGCCTGGAGCCTGGTGTGGACTCCAGGGAGACAGTGACATCACCCCAGAGATGGGGTCTCGGGAGGTGGTGCAGGCCACTGGGAATGGGCTTTGGTCCTGAAGCCTGTGGAGTGCGTGAAGCCAGGGCAGCTGGGGGAGGCCTGGGGGGCAGTAGGGTAGCACCCAGGGCCCATTTTCCTGGCCCCGGCCCCTGCCAGGAGGGCCTCACGTATACTGCTAAGGCTCAGAAAAGGGCAAGGAGGCCGGAGCAGCCCGGCCAAGGAGCTGCCCCTACTGAGGCCAGGCGAGCTCACAGCCTGAACACATGTAGGACCACCTCAGTCGCAAACACCATCCCCAGGTGAAGGTGGGCTGGGTCCATGTTGGGAGAGTTGGCCCCGTGAGAAAGGGAGGGGGCCCAGGAGAGGGTCCCAAGACGTCTGTCTATCCCAAGAAGACAAGGATATGGTTGGAGATGCAGAAAGAGCAAGTGGGGCCGGGACCAGGCTGAGCCTCCTGCCCAAGTGGTAGTGCCGGCTGCCTGTCTGCCCATCCAGGCAGTGGGAAGGTAGGCCTGGCTCACAGCGACCCAACACCTGCCCCCCCCACACACACACACGCACACTGATGACCTCCTCCAGGCTGTGACCCCAGGCCCCATGAGTCCTGCCCTGTCTGGGCCAGTGCATCTCACTGAATGAAACCCCTCTACTGCCCCAAGTGTAAAGAGCTTCCCCTTCTTCCAAAAGGCTGCATGGCCTGTTCCTTCCACCTGCACCTTGATTTCTTCTACGTACGCTTAGCCACCTCCCACTTCTCTGTCGTGCCTCAACCAGAGCGTCGCCAACCTGGAGCGGCCTCCCTGACCCCCCAGGCTGGATCGGGGCCTCCCGTGGGCTCCCACAGCCCCGCGGCCGCAGATCCGAGGCCTCTGCTTCCTTGAGCTGCCTGATGTCGGGCACCTGAGGTGGAGGGATCAGGTGCTGTTCGTTGGCAGCATCAACAGTGAAAGTCACTGCACGGTTTTGGAGACTCCTCACAGGGAGTGGCAGGCCACAGCCGCCACACCCAGTGCCCTCTGCTAAGGACACGGCTGGCCCAGGAGGCAGGGCTCCCAGCTTATCTGAGCCTCGGACGCCTCATCTGTAGCATGGGGCAGCGACACCCGACTCCCTGCAGCCCACCTGCTGGTACTTACCCATCAGGCTCTGCCGCTCCTCCTTCTTGCGGGCCTTCTGCTTGGCCTCCAGCTGCACCACTGACAGGGACGGGCCCACGGTGGGGCTGGGGAGGGCGCTGGCTGCAAAGCGGGCCAGCAGGCCCAGCCCGCTCTCCTCCAGGCCTGGCGACAGCGCCCGCTCCCGGGCCCCCAGCCTACAGCCTCCGGCGGCCTCGACCTCCTCCTCGTCCAGCCCGTCCTCCTCGTCTTCGTCCTCGTCCTCGGAGCTCTCATCTGGCGTGCAGAAAACAGGGAGCGAGTCAGAGCCCTGGCCCGAGCCTGCGCCTCCCCCCACTGCCCCATCTCAGCTGGAGCGCCAGCGAGGGGCCCTGGCTCCAGCCCAGCTCCTCACTCCTCGCCAGCCCACAAGTCCCCCCAGTGGCCCAGTGCCCCCCATCAAAGCGAGCCCAAGACCTGGGCATCCTGGACAGCCCAGAGGTGGGCAGCGGCTTTGGGAGTCGAGAGTGTTTCTGCAAGGGGAGCACCAACATGCACCTGTGCTGCAGGGAGGGGGACGGACACACGGACAAGGACTGGAGACAGCGCTCTCCACGGTCTCACGCGCACGCACGCGCACACACACGCCCCGACGCACAACGTGAAGGCTGGGAAAGGGGGCAGGAGGGGAGAGGAGGAAAGAGGGGAAGGCGGGGCAGAGAGGGGAGGGCGGGGCAGAGAGGGGAGGGCGGGCCCTGGGGGCTCGGGCTGAGGCTCGGACACAGGCGCCTGGGGGCAGCTTCACCAGTGGGAGGCCTGGCGGCTGGCAGCAGGAGAAGGTGGAGTTTGGTCTCTTCTTGGGGGGTGGGGGGCTCCCATGGTGGAAACCCTGAGCAGGCTCTGGGGTCCAAAGTTGACTCCCAGCAACACGCCCGCACTGGGAAGCCTGGGGCAAATCCCCGGCCCTCTCTGAGCCGCTAGTTTCTTATCTGTGAAAATCTCATCTCATCGCAACCCAGGGAGCCACAAGCGGGCTACGCGACCCCCGGGAGCAGGAAGGGGGCAGGGGGCGGGTCCACTCGGCTCCAGCAGGCCGAGGCTCGGCACGGTCAGGGCCTCAGGCAGCAGAGCAGGATTTGAACCCGGGGCGGGCTGGCTCATCACCCACAGTCTAGTGGAAAGACACTAAGGAAGCCCCAGCCTGTCTCCCCGGTTGAAGAGAGACAAGCTTCTCCCCAGAAACTGGCCCTACGGCACGAGGACCTGCAGCCCTGAGCCCAGCTTGGGCCATCGGGACAAAGGAGGGGCAAGCTGTGGGCCCGGCGGCCACAGCAGGGAGGATGACACTCCCTGCATGTGAACTAAGCCCTCACCAAAAAGAGAGACCTTCTGGAGGTACAGGCTTGCTTCCTGCCTTTCCAGGGACACAGCCCAGCTAACCCCACAAGGGCGGCGGGTGGGGGGGGCGCCCAGTACCTCTGTCAAGGAGCCGCCGAGGGACACCTGCCAGGGGGGGCCTGTCTGCCCAGGGCGCTGGGAGTGTGAAGGTGGCTCTGGGGCCGCTGGCCCAGGGCTGGGCCAGGCCGGGCTGGAAACAACTCTCCAACAAGAGGCTGGAGGAAAATGAGCCGTCGTCTCTCCGTGTCGTCTGGGGGCAGGGAGTCTGGGCCCAGAGGTGGACAGGCCCTGGACGGTGGCCAACTCCACATTCTCCTGCCTACGCCCCAAGACGCCTGGCTGCTGGAGTGCAGCTAGCGGCCGAGAGCGGCGGCCCCAGCAGTGCCCGTGAGGACAGGGTTCGGTCTGCCCATTCATCCGAGGGAGCCCTCAGTGAGGGAAGCAGACAAGAGCCCAAGGAATGCCCGAAGGGAGTCGAGAGAGGAAGGAGGCAGAGAGAGAGAAGGTCTGTTAAGAGTGAGAAGACGGAGACCCGGCTCCCAGAGCGATGGATGCAGCGGGATGGAGGCCAGCGGGGCGGGCAGGTGGCAGGCAGGCAGTGCACACTTGCGATCCATTCACATTGCGGACGTCACATGGCTCTGTCTCCGCCCAGTGGGCCACAGCGGCAAAGCAGGCTAAGTGTAGGCAGACTGCAGGCAGCGCCCGGGTCCCCCACCTCAGGCAGGCCCCCCGGGGGCTGGCCGAGCTGAGCAGGGGGTGGGCGGGGGGCTGGCTGGGGCGGGGCGGGGTTGGACACGGGGCCAGCTTTCCCTTCTAGAGGTGGCCTTCCCGGGGCTGCTCAGGTGTGGAGCCTCCAGAACTCTCTCCTGCCCAGCATTCTCTGCTGGCGGGGTTGGGCTGGCTCTGGGTTTCTGGAGGTCTGGAATGTCCACATCGGACCCCAGAAAGCCAGCAGCGGCCCCCAACGCAACCCAGCACCCTGAGATGGAAGAACGGTTGGAAAGCAGACGGCCGAAAAAAGGTGTGCTTTCCACGAAATGCTGATGAGGGTAATCGGGGTCTCCTGAGGCCCTCCCCGCCCCCTGCTCCCGAGAGCCTGACAGCCCACCAGGGCCGCCTCCGACGGCGGCTGGTCTGCTCAGGCCAGGGTCCGAGGGGTAGGGGCAGCGGAGGGGGTCTCAGGACCAGGAAAGCCTTTCTGGAGGTGTCCACACCTGAGGCGACAGAGTTTGCCAAGGGCAGGGGGAGAAAAAGTCCCAACAAAGAAACCCGCGGAAATGCAGAAAAACTTTTTTTCATAGAAAAAACTCTTGGCTCGGTACGTGGGGTTGGCTGTTGTCACTCGGTTTGGTTTTCCAAAACCCGATCCGTAAATGCCAAAGCGATCCGCTGCTGCCATAGCCGGTGGGGGCAAACCCCGAGGGGGGGGGAGCAGAGGGGACACAAAGAAAAGGGTTTCGCCTACCTACGGAGCAACGAGCCAGGCTCGGACCCAAGCTCAGTGACCCGCTGCGCCGTCTGCCCTACTCCCAGCCTTCGCTTTGCGTCCAGAGTGCAGCGTGAGAGCAAATGCAAGAGACCAAAACAGACATTCAAAGCATCATGGGTAGGGGTCAAGGGTGAAGGTATGGTCAAGCTGCTGGGGGAGAAAGCAGACACACTAGAAAAGCCAAGCCAATTAGGTGTTTTAGTACCAGATGTCAGTAAGGCCCTATTACCCAAATATCCCTTTCAAGACCTGACCAGCGGTCTGGGTGCAGCGGGGACCCCTCCCCTCGCCCCCTGCACTCCCCCTTATCTGGGCTCCGTCCACTGCTGTGTCTGGCCCTGGTTTGCTGGACCCTGGATCCCTCTGCCCATTCTGGGCAAAGGGCCCCTCACTACAAGATCTGCGGGGCTGCCTGCTTCTCTATGGGGTCTGGGCTGGAGCACGAGAGCTCCAAAACTTGGAAGCTGGAACTCTGGCTTTGATAGGGGGGAGGAGGCATAGGGGGCCAGCCCAGAAGACGGGGAGAGGGGAATGGCGAACTAGCCAGACTGGTCCACAGAGGCCCAGGTTGGGGGAGGCCTCGGAAGACGAGGCTGGCTGGAGAGCTAGTGGCCCGGGTTGTACGTGCTCAGGCACGGCAGCAGCACCGGAGAACGCGAGCCCCGGGAGCACCCGGCCCCCGCCCACGTCGTCTCCAGGTCACCCAAAATGTATCCCAGCCAGAGCATCGGGGTCTAGGCTCTGACCCCCAGGTGCTGCTACCCAGGCTCTGGGATCCCTAAAGGGGGGTCCACCCTGAAGCAAATCCAAAAGCAGGGCGAGAAGCACTTAAGGATCGGCTGGCTGCCTCGCCCCCCCCCCCGGCCCGCCCCAGGACATTTGTGACTGGAGGTCCTGGAAGGCTGAGACATTTCTAACCCCAGAAGTTGAATTCTGACGTTAGGGAAAGCAGAGCCAGGGCGCTCACAGAGGCCCCTGAGGCCAACCCCCTCTTTGTAAGTGAGTTTGAGAGCAGACGAGCCCGGGACTGAGCCTGGGACTCGCAGTGAGCTTTGCCCCCCAACACGGCAATGAAGCCTTTTGAATTTCACAACAAAACTCAGGGACGGCAAGCGGTCTTGACCCTGCACTGCCTACATTGCCCTTCGAAACAGAAACATGCGTTAGAAAATGAGTGTTTGCAAATATTTTTTAACCACTGTTGCGTAAGAATAGAGCTTTAAGAAAACAAAAGACAAACAAGCAGCTTAAAAAAAAAAAAGGATGAAGCTGGAGGTGAAAGCAGTTGACTTTAAACCTGAAAAATGAAAGGCATGCCAACAGCTACCAGGGATATTTGAATAATAGAGAGAGCGCAGACTGCATTATTCCGTCTACCCCTTCTGGGGCAGGGGTGGGGAAGGGGGTGAGGGGGGCAGGAGGAACAAAATGAGGGAAGCGGCAACCTAATGGTCTAGTCAGGACACAGCAAGAGAGACAAGGCACACGGGTTTAGTTAAAAATGAACTCGATATGTTTAATAAAGCTCGATATTACCAAAATCGCGGTACAAACATCAAGTCACACGCCCACACGACAGAATTCCATTTACAAAATGTCCCCGGGGAGGGAGGCCTCCACGGGCCCCTCCGGGAGGACCCACCCAGGCCTTCGGTCCAGGGGGCAGGGGAGGCGAGGGGAGGGGACAAGAGAGGAAGACTAAAAACAGTCCATATGAAAGCTCAGAAAGAGCCAGCCAATGGTCTTATCACGATGATACAGGTACAAATAAAAACAAAAACAAAGACTCGGGCTGATACAGCAGGCTACGCTGCCAAGAACCAGACGGCCGCCCCGGCCGGCCATCCCGGCGGCGCCGCGGCCGCCCTCCCCGCCTCGCTCTCGCGCTCGCTCTCGCACTCACTCTCTCGCTAGGAAACACGGGAGGTATTGTGTGTTTGGAGCTAGTAACCTTGGTCAAACGAGTCCTCCGAGGAATCGCTGAAGGAGGAACGGGCCTCGACCTCTTGAAGCAGCAAACAAAACGGCTGCTTCCTGCCGGCGGCCGGCTTGGGCTTCAGAGTCCGGGCGGCCGCCAGGCCCCTCTCGGTCAGCTTGGGGCCGCCGGCCGGCTTGCTGCTCTTCGCCACCATGCCGCAAAGGATGGAAGATGTCAGTCTGGAGCTGGAGGGGCCTTGGGCAGCCCACTCGTCCTTCAGGAATTCCTCCTCTTCCTCTGAGTCCGTATCTGCAGTCAAAGTAGTTTTTAATAGAGATAAGTCACAGGGCGCCGGGGGGAGGGAGGGGGCTGGTGTCTTTCTTCCATTATTCTCAGCGCTTTTGAGAACAATCTCCTACTCGCCAGACAGAGAGGTCCAGATGCCTACGGGCCGGCCGTGGAACCAGCTGAGTTCCGCCACCTGGAGCTCTCCTCCCGACCTGGGCCTCGCCTCTCACCCGCGAGGCCTCTGAGCTGCAGGCGTCTTCCGTGGGTTCGGACGGAAGGCCGAACTTCTAGGCCGGCTGCGGCCAGCATCCCCCACCACCCGGCCACTCTCAGGAAGGTCTCTGCCCAGGGCACAGAGAGCACCGCCAAGTCCTGTCTACCCCACGGGACTGCAGCCGGCCCAGAGGCCCCTTGTGGGGAGGGACAAGGCCTAGGAGGGGAAGGGCTCAGTTAGAGCCATTCTTTCCCAAAACACCAGCTCCCGGCGGTGTGCAGGGCCAGCGGACGCAGGCTCACGATGGCGATCGCGCACCCCCGTTCCCGGCCCCCTGCTCAGCAATATCAGGACGGCGGCTTGAACAGTTACACCAAAGAAACAGGCACATGATGTTGCAGTGATATCCGGGCTGCTGTCCCCCCACCCTTTCCCTATCAGAGAGCCGGGTTACCAGTACACTGCTGCCGGCTTCCCACAAGTCTCCAACCTTACTATACGGGTGACGCTTTCCTGAGAGACATCACCCAGCTCTGGGGAGGTGGGCTGTCAAACGGGCACAGCTCTGGCCCCTACCAATCCCACCCCGGACATATACCACTTTGATCCGTTTTACGTGTGAAGCTGTTAAGCAAGATTTCGTCGGATGGAAAGGCTCTGCAGTCAGAGACTGGGGTCCCTTGATCTGGTAAAACCCACCCCAAACATGGGCAACGTTACTGGACGCAGCCGCAGCTCTGGCACGCCAGCTCTCTCCAAGCCCAAGAAAAACTGTGTGTGTGTGTG